TCATTTATAGAAAATCTAATCAGCACTGACACAAAGTCAGCACTCGGAAAGCTCAAATTCTAGACAAGAGTTCAGGCATGCAAATAAAACATAAATCATGGTATGGATATAAGAATAAATAGCTGGATTTGAGTAGACAATCTAGAAATGTTGTTGTTAGATGCTGTCGAATTGGCTCTGATTCACAGTGACCCTACGAACAGCAGAACAAAATAGAAAGAGACCCACTCATATACACATACTTGATTTATGAGAAAAAGGGGCACCACGCTGCAGAATCAGAAGCAAAGGATATCTCTAACAAATAATTCTGGTTCAGCTGGAATTTTGACACGTATTTCCCACCATAAACAAATACACACAGAAATAAATTTTGATTGATGGTACATCTACATGCTGAAAATGAAATAAATTTCTGAAACAGTTACCATAAAATATTTTCATGAATTTGGGCTAGGCAGACCTCTTAAAGAGAAAGACAAAAAAGAAAATATTGAGATACTAAAACAGTTGTGGTCGAGTCAATCTCATCTCAGGTGTCAGAGTAGAACTGTGCTCCATAGAATTTTAATATGTGAGTTTTTTGGAAGTAAATCAACAGACCTTAGTTCTGAGGTGCTTTCAGGTAAACTCAACCTTCCAAACTTTAGGTTAGTAGTCAAGCCCATAAACTGTTTGAAACTCCCTTAACAAATTGGACTAACTTAAAATAAATTTTTTTTCAAATCAAGATTCCATTAAGACTGAAAATATATTCAATGGTGTGCAGAAGAAGATATTAAAAATGTATATAGCCAAAAATGAATTAATATCTAGACTTCATAAGAGCTCTTTCAATATTCAGAACAACACAGCCAAACAAATAAAAATAGAAACAAAGCACATGAACAATTACTTAAAAAATACAACAAAAAAGGATATCAAAATGATCAATACTGCAGACTGTATTCTTCAATCTTCATCAGTAAGTACTTCAAGCCATCCTCACTTTCAGCAAACAAAGTTTTGTTGTCAGTGTACTGTAGGTTGTTAATGATTCTTCCTCCAATCCTGATGCCACGTTCTTCTTCATATCGTCCAGCTTCTCAGATTATTTTCTCAGCCTATAGATTGAATACATATGATGAAAGGGTACAACCCTGACACACTCCCTTCTTGATTTTAAACCATGCAGTGTTCCCTTTTTCCGTTTGAACGACAGCCTCTTGGTCTATGTACAGGTTCGTCATGAGTACAATTAAGTGTTCTGGAATTCCCATTCTGCTCAATGTTATCCACAATTTGTTATGATCCACACAATCAAATACGTCTGCATAGTCAGTATAACACAAGTAAACATCTTTCTTGTATTCTTTGCTTTGAGCCAAGATCCATCTGACATCAGCAGTGATATCCGTTGTTCCACGTCCTCTTCTGAATCCAGCTTGCATTCCTGGAAGTTCTCTGTCAATAAACTGCTGCAAAATAGCAGAATAGATAAAGTAATAAAAGATATAAAATATAAGAACCAGTATGCACTTCATTTTTTATTAAAAAAAATAACAGAATAGATAAAGGAATCGTGGTATTTTATTGTTTTGGATACTGTACCTCAAGGAAAATCCACAGACCACTGGTATGCATAATAACATGGACAAATCTTGTAAACAAATATAATGTGAAAGTAGTCAGGTACAAAAGAACAGATACTGCATGATTCCATTTATATAAAGTTTAAGAAAAGGGAAAACTGGCAAATGGGGTTAGAAGTCAGAATAATGGCTTTTCATCTGTGGAGTTCTGATTGTGCAGCAATTAGTACAGATGAATATTTCTACTGAAATATCAGTAAAAATAAACAGTCTGACAAGATCAACAACAAACATGTGACTGAGATATAGGCAAGTTGAGTCAAGCTGTGATTTTCTCATTACGGTAGGGGCAAGGGGAGAGCCTGGGGAAAGTTTCATAAAAGGGGTGCTGATGTCACAAACTCAAAATGTCCAGGATAGCAAGGCAGGCAAAGCAAAATAATGATCTAATGTAGGTTTAAAAATCAGAAGCATGAGCATGATGATGAGGTCCATATAGCATTCTGCTTCACTCTCAGGAAATCCGTAGGAGAGATGGGGACTGTGAGAACTGGAGGCTTATGACTCTTCTGAAAGAAACAGCTGCCAATTTGCTCCTGGTTTTTCTAGGTATTCTAGATATTTTTCTAGGTGTTCTAGTTTCTCAAAAAGCTGGAAATTTATATTTTCACATCTTCTTTTTATTTGTGAAATCTATACTCCCACACATTCTATGTTGAGTAAGGGAAATTTCATCTTTAATCAAGTTATTTTACATAATCTGAGAGTGTGTTGTTATTGTTGTTATGTGCCATCGAGTTGGACCTGACTCATACCAACCCTTCCTTGGATTTCCGAGGCGGTATCACTACAGAACTAGATTGCCCTATCTTCCTTCCGAGGAGTGGCTGATGGTATAACTCCTGCTAAACTCTGATAGTTCAGGCCTGTCTTGTCCCCTCCATATTCTGTTTTTCTAGCACAGGTTAGCTTGGCATATAATACGTAGGCAATAATTTTTGCTGAATAAATCAACAGAGTAATATATGAATTTGGTCTTTTTTAAAAAATTAATGTATGGGTATAAGTTTTCAAGATAGATAAAAAACGAAGTGCATACTGGTTATATATATAAGATTTTATTGTCGTTTGAGTGAAAATTTATAGGGTGAATTGGTTTTCCATTCAAAAATTCATATACATTTTATTTTGCGATATTGATTGCAATCCCTAC